AAAAACCCAACTATTTTGGCTGATTTCTGCCTTTAACCTGTAACATGACTCTGTAATGTTTTAATATAGAAAAATGATGGGATAGAATTGACATCATCATAATGTTTTGTTAAATAATGTTTGTAAACAGCAAAGGGATAGCCTGCCAATTATATTCTTGCTTTGGAAATGTCTAATAATTTTCAGGAACTGGGATAATTCAAGGAACTGGAGCACATGCTCGAGCGGGCCCAGTAACGTCTCCATTGGAGACTTTGTTGTTACTGTGTCTGGCATATCGAATACTCTCGGTAGCTTGCCGGGCTCTCCGAGAGGGGCAGAGGAATCGAACTCGGGTCGGCCATGTTGGCTGCGTGCAAGGCAGACACCCTACCTGCTGTGCTATTGCTCCAGCCCACACATATTTTGCATGCAGAAGCCCTGAATATGATCCCTGGCACTATATAGGCCCTTGAGAGCCAACCTGATCACCTAGTGACAAGTGAGGAGTATCTCCTGAGCACCAAGCCAGGCATGGCCCCCAAATTAAAAATAATAATAATTAAAAAAATTTAGACTATTCTGAGTGGGGTAAGAAAGGAGAGCCCTTGAATGTATTGGGTGAAAATAGTATTGGGCCAAAATAAGATATGAGATAGCTAAAGTTTAGAAAAGCCTTCTATAGCCCTATTCCATGCAGATCATTTGCAGGTCTATAGCATCAACCAAACTTGCTGAAGCTTGGTCCCTCCACCCCCACCCCAATCCCCAACATACCCTGGGGTTGGGGAGAGGTTGCTATTAGCCAGAATGGTTGGGAGAGGAGCAGGAATCTTTCTTCGTGTATAAAGAAATATTCTATATAAAATACTCTGTAATCATTTTTAGCAGATTATTCATAACAATACAAAATAAATTATTTAGGGTCTGCTTTGGGGGAGACTTTCGGCGTTGGGGTGGAAAATTTGAAATATGGTGGTGGGAAAGTGAAAGGATTGGTGTTGAAATATTGAATGTAATAAATTACTGTGAACAACTATAAAAATAAAATTAAATTAAAAAAATAAAATATTCTGTAATGTATTAACCACAAATACACATAAAGTGTGAAGTAAGCTCTTTTTGGCTGACAGACTCAGACATAATGTTTGGCAACATGCTTAATGATAAACATTTATTGTAGCTTTCTTTTCCTTAAAATTTTAGTATGTGTGCTGCCAAAGTGTGGGGGAGAGAGAGTATATGGTCTTATCTGGCTGAGCTGGGGATTTTTCAGGTTCTATGCTCAGGAGTTACCCCGGGGGAACATCATATGTGTTGCTAGGGTTTCAAATCAACTATTAGTGGAATGGAAGGCAAGGGCCATGCTGTGTTCTAAGGATTTTACATATATGAATGTATATATCCTGAGTTTGATTCCACTGCCCCTCTCGGAGAGCCCGAGAGTAAGCTACCGAGAGTATCTCGCCCGCACGGCAGAGCCTGGCAAGCTCCCCGTGACGTATCCGATATGCCAAACACAGTAACAACAAAGTCTCCAATGGAGACGTTACTGGGCCCGCTCGGGCAAATCGATGAACAATGGAAGGACAGTGACAGTGAATGTATATATGAATGTATATATGTACAATCCGGCCCAGAGTGATGGCACAGCCGGTAGGGCATTTGCCTTGCATGCGGCCAACTAGGCCGGCCCAGGTTCGATTCCTTTGCCCCTCTCAGAGAGCCTGGCAAGCTACCAAGAGTATCTGCCTGCACTGCAAAAGCCTGGCAAGATACCGGTGACGTATTCAATATGCCAAACATAGTAACAAGTGTCACAATAGAGACATTACTGGGCCCGCTCAAGAAAATCGATGAACAGTGGGAGGACAATTACAGTGAATGTATGTTACATTTATGAACGTATATTACATTTCCATACAATCCTGTGAAGGTTTTTTTCATTATTATATATGTAAAGTGAGGTACAGAGTTCATATACATATATTTTTTCTTTTAAAGCATAGGGGATTTTTTTGGTGGTGGTGTGTGTGTGTGGGGGGGACACCCGGCTGTGCTTAGGGCTAACTGCTTGCTTTGTGTGCAGGAATCATTCCTAGTGGTGCTTAGGAGAACATATGTGGAGACCACAATGATAGTGTGCTTGTCTTGTATGTGGCCTATCCAGGTTGGATCACCGGCATCCCACACTGTCCCCAAGCATGCCAGGAGTAATTCCTGACTGGAGAGACAGGAGTAACCCCTGAGCAGCTCTGGGTGCAAAAACAACAACGAACAAAATAAAGAAGACCATATGCGGTGCTGGTATTGGTACCCAGCAGACCGAATATAAGATGAGTGCCTTATCCACTCTACCATCTCCGCCGCCACTGTGCCATCTCTCTGACTCAAGGGTTTTTATTACATGTACCATGGGAAAGATTACTTAAAAATCAGTAAGTACTTCATGTTTTGGTTCTTCTCCCTGTCTGTTCATCACTTTATTTCCTCTACAGTTTGAAAAAAAATCCCCGCCCCCCCCCCCCCCCCCCCCAACCCCAGGCCGTACATGGTGATGCTTAGGGTTTATTCCTGGCTCTGTTCTCAAGAATCACTCATGTCGGTGCTCGGGGGACCCTGTGGGATGCCCGAAATCAAACATGGATCATCCTTATCTGCTGATCCTTATCTCTCTCCATCCCCTGCAGTTTGGACTTTGATTTTCAAAATGTCTCTACAGAGAAGGCACCGGTTAAAAAGCAGGTTGAAATTTCCTATCACTCATGGATAGGTCCTATAAGCTCCTCAGGGCAAGAGTGGCAAATAAATAAATAAAATAAAATAAATCAAAACCCAAATGTACTCTTGCTTCTGAGTGACCACGGCTTCCTGAGGGGGGAATACTTCTACTTTTTGGTTACGAAATCCAGAGCTCCAGGTTTTCGGCGTTTGAACGTGAATTCAAATTTACTTTTCCTTATTCAACTGTCCATCTATCTGTCTAGCCTAGAACTGGGAAAGACGAAGCGAGTCCCTTTTGACAGGGGTTCGCAGACGAAACCCATCCACCACAGTCGTCGCGCACAGAGCGCGGGAGTCGAGAACTCGGAAAGCGTAACACGGTTGTCGACTTCGCCTCACACCTAGTTCCTTGACCGACATTTCGAGATCCACATGAACGCTTCCTCTGGGAGCGCGGGCTGCCGAAAGGGAGGGCCCTTCTGAGCAGGGCGACCAATGAGATGGCCGGGTCTTATGAGCAGCACATCGCTGGACCAATGGTGGACAACCTCGAGATCCCGCGAGAAGACACCCCCGAAAATCAGGACTTGGTGCATGCGGCCTTTTGAGTTGCTGGTGCGTTGAAACGCGGAGTCTTCTCCTGAGGGCCGGAGCTGTGGTAAGTGGGCGTGAAGCTGGTGGGGCGGGTCCGAGAGGCCACGGGCACCCTGTCGCTGGCTACCGGGTGGGCTTGGGCGCGGGGAGGTGTGGGCGAGCAGGTCCTCCTCCTCCTCCGCTTACTGCTCCCGCAGCGCCAGGGCGAGGCCTGAGGGGCTCGAGGGGCCTGAGGGGCTGCGGGCCACTGAGGAGGCGAGAAGGCGGGAAGTCGTTATTCCAGGCAGGTGGATGTTAGACCCAACTGCCGGGGAGGTCCCGGCCCTGGCGGGTGAGGCCTCGCTGGGGTGGGGCGGGGGTGGCCTCGCGGCGCCATTGGTCGAGGAAGGGGCTTTCCCGGTGCGCGGAAGGAGGGGTCGGGTTTGCCCGAAGGCGACTGGAGGTGGCCTCTCCGGGGGCGGGCGCAGGAGGCTCCTCGCGGGCGGTCGCCTCCCTTCCCGCGCCGCCTTAGACTCGCGACGCCCCTGGGACCCCCTCACGAGGGCCTCCCGGGGGCGGGGGGCCGCGCGCCTCAAGGGCGGCGACCCCCGCCACCGCCGTGATGGCGCCCGGAAGCAGGTTCTATGGCTGCTCCAGCTCGAAGAACCTTCTCCCGTCGCCAGGGGGTGGCTCCTGGCGGTGCTGTCGTGTGGGTCACGTGTCTGTCGTGTGGGTCACGTGTGGGTTCACACCTTGCCTCACGGCCCCAGCCTTTAATGTTTGCTATAAAACCTGTGAAAGGTTTTAAAACCTGTGATTTCTTTTTTTCTTTCTTTTTTTTTTTTTTATGGAATCACTGTGAATTGCAAGGTGAGTAAAGTTATTCCTGGTTAAGTTTCTTTTTTTCTTTTTTCTTTTGCTTTTTTTGGGTCATACCCAGCGATGCACAGGGGTTACTCCTGGCTCACGCACTCAGGAATTACTCCTGGCAGTGCTCAGGGGACCATACGGGATGCTGGGAATCGAACCTGGGTCGGTCGCGTGCAAGGCAAACGCCCTACCCGCTATGCTATTGCTCCAGCCCCATTCCTGGTTAAGTTTGAGGCGTACAATCTTTCGACATGAATCTCTTCATTAATGCCCACTTCTCTCCATCCATGTCGCTAGTTTCCCTCCTGGTTCCCACTGCATGCCTCTGTGACAGGTGCTTTAAGAAAAAAACTATATATATATATTTTTTTTTTCTTGCATTTTGGGACTGCAGCCCTACTCCTGTTCCGTGGCCTTTTTCTTTTCTTTTTGAGTCACATTTGACAACGCTCAGGGGTTACTTCTGGTTCTGCACTATGCGGGGGAATAGAACCTGGGTCAGCCTCGTGCAAGGCAAACACCCTTCCTGCTGTACCATCGCTCCAGCCTCCACAGCACTCTTTTACTGCCTATAACACTTTGAGAGCCTGTCTTGAAGAAAAAGGAAAACAACTGGGAACTTTTTTTTTAAAATTTTTTTGTCTGGGGGGTGGGGTGGGGAGTTGCACACCAGGCTGTGCTTAGGGATCACTCCTGGCAAAGCACAAAGGACCGTATGGGGTGCAGAGGCTTGTCCCTGGGTTTGTGCATGCATGGCAAACCCCTTACCTTTTTTACTGTGTCTCTGACCCCACAACTGGGAACCTTTAATCTTCTTTAAATGCTGGCAGGTAACGAACCTCACCAGGCTTTCCATGGATCCTGTGCGACCACCCTTCAGAGGTCCCACCCCTGTGCGCCCTTCTCAGTGTGTGCGGATGCCATGCCCTTGGCCACAGTCCCCCAAATCTTTGGACTCAGCTGTGGGCAGGGCTGGACCTACAGGCCGAGGCCATGTATTTGGAAAACCCAGGGAATCAAGTCCGCAGAGTGGGCCAGCAAGCAAGGTAAGACTTAAGTCTTAGTGAGCAGTAGCTGCGTGTGGTGTATCATCAGGGAAATAATGTATGATAAAAGTGCTGGAAGACTGTGCAGTCCTCTGTGAAAAAAGGGGCTGTTTTGCTTTTCTGCTATTTTTTCCTCCTCTCCTTTAATAATAGTTGCAGCTTCTGGGGGTATATTTCAAATTCTAAAGTTGACAGTTCTAGAAAAAGGGATGCAGTGAATGCTAGATAGATTTGATAAATGCTTTAATCCTTTAGTTTCAATAAATAGAAATTTAAATACATGCATAAGTAATATAGATTTGGAGCTACAGCTTCTCAAACTTTCCTAGTATTTATATTTTCACTCAGGATCTTCCTCTGTTGTATGAACTGGTAATAATGTTAAGAACTGTTTCTTTCAGAATGTTCTTTGCACATGTTAAAAAAAAAACAAAACCACCCCAGATCTTCATCTGCTATTATTATAATATGTATGTGGATTCTTAATTTTACAAACAGAATTTGTGATTCAAATTATGATTAGCAAATATAGGAAAAAGTAAAAAAAATCAGTTGTTAATAATTTCAGAAAAGTTATTAGTGTCAAATATAATGTTCTGTACCCCTGGCCTGACCCCACCATCTCAGGATGGACCTCACTGAGATATAATCTGCTGAAAATTTTGGTATGTGGGTTTTATGACTGAAATCTTCAGGCTTTCTCAGAGTAGGGATGGGTTACCTCTCTCCACTTCCCAGTCCTGGAAGCACCAGCAGTCACCCCCACAAACCAACTCTAGCACTACCACGTAAACTCTTCTACCCGTGTTGCTTCAGAGATCCATAAATAAATCTCAAAAGAGATCAAAAGCTGCAGTTAATCTAGTACCCGTTCGAGACTGAACAGACCAGGATAAATTGGAGGGGCATGGGTCAGCCTGGTCTCTGCCCAAGCAAAGCCCGCCAACCAGAACCCCCAGCAGTTGCTTGCTTCCACAATTCCAAAATTGCCACCATACCCTTGGCCTGACTCCACTGTCTCAGAACGGACCTCAGCGAGACATAATCTACTGAAAATTCTGGTATCTGGGTTTTGTGACTGAAATCTTTAGGTTTTCTTGAGTTCAAGATGGGCTACCTCCTTCTACCTCCTTGTACTTGGCAGTTATCCATGCCCCCCAAAAAGCTGCCCAGTTAAAAAATCTCCATTCTTACTGTTCCAATAAAAATATTGAATGCCCTGAACAAACACAATGACCTTTTAGTACCTTAGTATGGTTATTGCAAACCATAATGCACAAAAAGAAAAGGAGATAGAAAGTAAGAAGAAAAGTGCCTCCCAGAGAGGGAGGCTGGGGGTGGAGTGTTGGGAGATAGTGGGAGGTAAAAAGGGGACATTGGTGGTGGGAAATGTATACACTGGTGGGATGGGTGCTGGATCATTCTTTGACTGAAATCCAATTATGAACAGCTTTGTAATGATCTATCTCATGAATAGTCAATTAAAAAAATTTTTTTAAAGTGATGTGGAGTTCATGCCTGCTTTGGTCAGCTAAAATCAGTGGCTAAGTAAATAGCAGTACTCCTACATTTTAAAAAATGTCACGGTCATGGTCCTCCCGTTATTCATTGATTTGCTCAAGCGGGCCCAGTAACGTCTTCATCGTGAGACTTGTTGTTACTGTGTTTGGCATATTGAATACGTCACGGGTAGCTTACCAGGCTTTGCCATGCGGGCAAGATACTCTCAGTAGCTTGCCAGGCTCTCCAAGAGGGGCGGAGGAATGGAACTTGGGTCGGCCATGTTGGCCGCTTGCAAGGCAAATGCCCTACCCGCTGTGCTATAGCTCCAGCCCTTTAAAAAATGTAGTGTTCTATAAAATGAAAACTGTATGATAATAAACTTGCATTTTTACTCAGATGACTTGCTTGATTTACAACCTACAAGACTGTTGTAAGGAGGCAGCAAGTTTTTTTTTGTAATTTTATATTTATTATTTATTTATTTTTAATTTTTATTAGTGAAACACCATGAGGTGTACAGTTGTAGACTTACAAATTTTTGTGCTTGGGTTTCAGTTATACAATGATCGAACACCTGTCCCTCCACCAGTGCCCATTTCCCACCACCACGGATCCCTGTATCCCTCCCACCCCCCATCCTTCCCATCCCATCCTGCCTCTGTGGCAGGGCATTCCCTTTTGTTCTCTCTCTCCTTTTGGGTCCTGTGGTTTGCAAAAGAGGCATTGAGTGGCAATCATGTTCTGTCTACAGTCTACTTTCAGCATGCTTCTCCCATCCTGGGTGGATCCTCCCAACACTCTTTATTTGGTGCTCCCTTCTCTATCTGAGCTGAGGCAGCAAGTTTTGTTGAAGGTTGTTATTAAAAAAAAATCCAAACATGATACCCTTAAAAAGTTGTTTCTGGCTCTGTGCTAAGGGATCACTCACTCGGCAGCTTGCAAATCACTGTGCTATCTCTCTGATTCTTTTTGGAAATGAAATAACCAGTACACTGTTTCTCTCTTTTCTTGAGTATACAGGAAATAGAGAAATAAAAAGGTTAACTGTGTTCAGTTATAGTGTGCTGCACTATCAAGTCATGGACTTGCATGCTTAAAAACCTACTATGATGTGTCTTAAAAAAGTTAAGTATTCAAATAACTTTAGTGGGGGATTTGGGGCCATACCCAGTTAAATTAAGGGACTACTTTTTGCTTAGTACTGGGATTTTGGCTGTTATTAAGGGAATCACACACTGCACATCTTTAGACCTGTACCTCCTGCATGTAAAGGATGTGCTACAGCTGGTTGAGTTATATATCTGCACCTAAACAAATTTTGTTTGTTTTGTTTTGTTTTTGTTTTGGGGACACATCTGATGGTTCTCAGGACTTACTCCTGGCTTTGCGCTCAGAGATCCTGGCAGTGCTGGGGGTCCTTTTGGGATGCTCAGGATTGAACCCAGGCTTGTTGCATGCAAGGCAAGTGCCCTACCTGCTGTACTATTGCTCTGGCCCCACTAAGCATTTTTTTGTGAGATGTTCTCACAAAATGTATAGAATTTGAAGATGATTTTTGTCATCTGCTAAGGTTTTCAAAACCCATTAATGTTTCAGGTACTTTTAGCCACATTTTATAATAACACTTACTTTCTATAGGAACCTGTTGGTTTGGTTTCCATGTTCCGAGGTCTGGGCCTTGAAGCAGCATCCCGTATTCCTCTGAAGCAGGAAATGCCTCATTTAGGTATGTTGGAAACTAATGAGGAAATATGGTGAAATAAGTGATTGATTTGTTTTTGAATTAAAGTTTTTTATCTTCAGAAAAATTACTATGACATGTTTAACTCACAGTTATAGCTGGAGTTTGGCTTTTCTGTTCAGGCAGAGGCATTTTAGGTCGAGGATTACCTACCACTGTGGTGCATAAGGACAAAGAAGAACCCTATTCCACAGGATTTCCAGATTCTTCTGTGTTGGCAGCTGGGGATAGCAAGATGGCAGAGGCCTCCATTGGTTGGAGTAGGTGGGTAAAGTTGCTTTCTCAGGTAACCATCAGATTCAGTTGGAATTTGGTGGAGCCAAAGAGAAACTGAAAAGAACTATACTACATTATAGCTGTTGCATGGGTTTATATAGAAGAATGTATGTTTTCCAAGACTAGTTAACTAGTTGGTCAGTAGAAATGTATTAAAGGTTTTTCTTCTTCTCTGGTCATAACTTCTTTTGTTATCTTTAAGAAGTTAACCTAAGTTCTTGCTTTGGTAGCACATACACTAAAAGTTTGGAACTGTACAGAGATTAGCGTGGTCCCTGCACAAGGATAACATGCAGATTTGTGAAGTGTTTCACATTTAGCATCGTCTCTATACAAGGATAACAAGTAAATTTGTAAAGTGTTTTATATTTTTGATCTCACTTTTATGTGGTATTTAGAATAAGTGGATGAGGGAAAGTCATTTTTTTAAAGGGGGGATTCCTAGATCACTCTTGGCCCAGAGTGTAGGAAGGATGGACAGAGATGGAAAAAAATCAAGGGGGGAAGAAGAGACAGATAGGAAGCAACGGGAGTAGTGAGGGTGGGGGTGGGACTAGGGGATTCAGATAAATCTGTGACATAAAGGAGTGTTGGAGCTAAATATTCAAACCACAGAGTCAACAACACTGAAAACATGAGATCCAAACTTTAGTAACCAAACTTTAAAAATTGCCTGTCAAGGTGTCAGACTGGGATTTGGGTTGGGGTAGGAAGAAACCTAGGAGCACTGGTGGAGGGAAGTTGACCTAAGGGGCTGGAGAGATAGTACATAGGTTAAGCCATTTTCTTTGCATGTGGCCAACACTTATTTGATCCCTGGCATCACATACAACCCTTCCCCTACCCCTGCCTTCCTGCCTAAGCACCACCAGAAATAGTTTTTGAGTACTGCCAGGTATGAACCCCAAACAAAAAAAAAATTAACCATATTTGTGGCTAGTGACAAAATTCATGTAAGCAGTACATCTGGGTTTGATTTTTTTTAGCACCCCAAAAAGAAATTAATCTGATTGTAGAGTGATTTAACCTGGATAAGTCAAACTTCATTCTGATATAGAAGTTGGTCCTGAGAGTCAGTATTAATAGTAGGGTGAGTGGATCATGTTGACAAATTTAATTTAGGTAGAAGCTTAAGGAGGTACTAGGTTCCTTTTGCTGAATCCTCCAAGGATTGGTGCAGGGGCATGGTAATTTAGATGGGGCATAGGGAAAAGTATAATAAAAAAGTCCCAATTTGCCTCTTTTCAACATTTCAGAGTCATTGGTAGAGGTAATTCAGATGGATCGTTATTATCAGTGGGAAGAGCAGCTGGTGGTATAGGCAGAGGAGTATATAAGGCTCCCAAGGCTCTTGGCCTGACTTCTCAGGATCCTACCCAGCTATCGTCACCACCACCTCTTCCTCAGACCTCACTGCAATCTGTGGATCGCTCTCCACTTGGAATTGGAACCGTAGAACACAAGGAAAAGTAAGTTCTGACACCACCTTCTCTGTTTGATAATGATATGAGTGAGGCCTTCTCACACTGTTGTGTTCCAAGCCCTCCATGGGTGATAAGTATTGTGGGGTTGTTGTTGTTTGTTTATTTCTTTTTTTTTTTGTAATTTTTTGTTAGAGGGGAAATGAAAAAAGTATGTGGGACAGTTTCTAATGAAACAAAATGGGACTAACAAAATAATATCAACAGAGATAAATTCATGACTTTTAAAATTTCATTCACAATTCAGAATTTAGATGATTCCTTGTCATAGTAAAAGCAAATTATTTTATTTTTATTTATTTATTTAAATTTTTATTAGTGAGACACCATGAGGTACAGTTGTAGACTTAACAGATTTTTGTGCTTGGGTTTCAATTATACAATGATCTAGTACCCATCCCTCCACCAGTACCCATTTCCTACCACCATGGATCCCAGTATCCCAGCCATCCCCCATCTCCCCCATCCCACCCTGCCTCTGTGGCAGGGCATTCCCTTTTGTTCTCTTTCTCCTTTTGGGTCTTGTGGTTTGCAAAAGAGGCATTGAGTGGCAATCATGTTCGGTCCATAGTCTTCTTTCAACATGCATCTCCCATCCTGGGAAGATCCTCCAAACACCCTTTATTTGGTGCTCCCTTCTTTATCTGAGCTGCCTTTTCCCCTAGCGTGTGTGGCTGGCCTCCAAGCCACGGAGCAAAATTCCTGGTACTAATCTCAGCCGTTCTTGGGTGTTAGTCTCCTATTTTTATGTTCTCCAGATGAAAAAAGCAAATTATTTTAAAATACTATTGCAGGATTGGGGAGATAATACTGCTGGTAGAGTAGTATTATCTGATTTGCATATTGCCAGCGCCCCATATAATCCCCTGAGCTGTCCAGAAATGATCCCTTGAGCACAGAGCCAGGAGTAAACCCTGGGTACTCCTGGGTGTGGCCCCCAAACCTAAATCCAAACTAAAATCTGCCACGGGGTGGGTAGATGGCTGAATATATTGAGCATAGCTTTGCCTGTGGAAAGCCTTGGTTGAATCCCTGGTACTAAGGGTCCAAGAGCACTGCCAGGTGTGGCCCTCGAATCATACATATTAAACTCCAAACCAAACAATAGAATACTATTGCAGTAATTCTTCTCTTCAGAACTAAATTTTTTTTGGGGGGGGTTGGGTGGGGTAGGGGTGGATGATTTTGACCACACTTGGTAGTTCTCAGGGCTTACTTCTGACTCTGTGCTCAGGGATCACTCCTAGTCAGCTCAGGAGATCATTTGGGGTGCCAGGGATCAAACCCTGGTCTGATATATACAAGGAAAACGCTCTACCTGCTGTGCTATCTCCTAACCCCTACATCCCATTCTTACAAAGCGTGTCTAGTTTATTTCAGCCATGTTTTGGGACAGGAGGTGAACATCTTTAGAAATTGCAAAGTGTTCATCTTCTAACCTTCACAACTTCCTTTTTGTTTGTCTTGATTCTTGGTTTCTATATCTGTGAGCAAACTTAATCTTTGTGTGGGGAGGTTGCTGGCTGGTTTTAGACTTTGGTTTTGGGGGCATATGTTGATGCTTTTTGTTTTTGGTGTTGTGTATTTATACTAGAGAGCAACCACAGAGCTACAGAGCTTCACACATACAAAGAAAGTACTCTGAACTATATTCCTGGGTCGTCTTACTTTTGTTTTTTTTTATTTTTATTTTCCAGAGAGATTTTTGTGAAGCAAGGATCAAAAGGAACACCTCAATCTTTGGGACTGAATCTTATCAAAATACAGTGTCACAATGAAGCAGTTTATCAATATCATGTGACTTTCAGGTATTGATTTATACCTCTTCTCCTTGCACAAAGGTGTTCTTTTCTTTGAGACTGGTAGTAAAATATTAGAACAACTAAGGTTTTTTTTCTTGTGTAAATCACAATAGTTCATGTACTCAGATTTTTGCTTTCAGTGAATTTTAATTTTCTTTTGTATTTACATTACCAATTGATATTTTAATAAGTGCAGGTGGATTTATTAATTAGTAAAGCTTAAGTTTAGAATCTTTCACTTGTATGAAAACTTTTTAAGATATTTCAAACTTATTTTGTCTCTAATTTTGTTCTTCTCTTTAACTTCTCAAAGGTATAATAAGATTCATGCTCCACAAAATCTGGACCCTCTCTGTGTTAGTCTCAATCCTATATTTGATGTCTCTTGAGTGACAGCCTAGGGTTAATTTTGAGAATAAGAAAATCTGAGAAAGTAAATAGAATTTACTAAAGTTTTGTAAAAATCAAGAATTTGCACTGGAGTGATATGTCTAGTAAGTAGGGTGCTTCCTTTGCACACAACTGACCCAACTTTGGTCTCTGGCAGCCTGTGTGGTCCCCTGAACCTGCCAGGAGTGATTCCTGAGTGTGAAGCCAGGAGTAAGGCCAAGCACAGCTGTGTGTGGCTTCAAAACAAAAGCAAGGGGCTGGAGAGATAGCACATTGCATAGGGTGTTTGCCTTGAATGCGGCTGACCCGGGTTCGATTCCCAGCATCCCATATGGTCCCCTGAGCACTGCCAGGAGTAACTCCTGAGTGCAGAGCCAGTAACCCCTGTGCATAGCCAGGTGTGACCCAAAAAGAAAAAAAAAAGCAAAACAAATTAAGAATTTTAGTTTTTGTTCTTTTAAAATCTCAGGAGTCCTTAACTGCAAGTTATTAGCTGGAATTATGACAATAAAGGGTGTTTTGGAACTTTCGGAGAAAATGGGAAGATGGAAGGCTTAAGTTTTGGAGGACAACCATTAATTGTTAGAAAGAATGGTAGCTCTTTCAATCCCATGAACATGCTTTTGAACATGCATCTCTATTTTTCTCCAAGCCCATATTCTCTTTTTAACACATACTCCTCTCTTTTCCCTTGCATTTTTCTAAGTAAATTTCTTTCAGTAAAAACTATTTTGCTTCAAGGGCCGGAAAACAGTGCAGTGGGTAAGGTGCTTCCCTTGCATGCCTAAGACTCACTTTCTGTCCCCGCATATAATATGGTTCCCTGAACCATCTCCAGGAGTGAATCCTGAGTACAGAGCCAGAATTCATATATGTGTGTGTGGGGGGGGGAGGGCTAGGGCCTACACCTGGGTACTGCTGGGTGTTGGCTCAAAAATCAAAAAACAAACAAAAGCAAACAAATTAAAAAAAAAAAACCTTCAGAGAGAGGGATGGGAGGGAGAGGAAGGAAGAGGGGAAGAAAGGGAGGAAGAATGGAATGTAAGAAAGAAGAAAGCAGTCATTAGTAAATACTCTCTGGAGATAGGTTATAAAAACCTAAGAATAGGCTTCCAAATTTAATTGGTCTACTGTACTCTTTTCAGAAATAAATTATGCAGCATTTTCCTGGAAATCTATGTTTTTAAAATGAATGCACAAAAACACCTTCTCCAATTGCACTTCAGACTCCCCATTATTCAAGGTGCGCGGGGGCATTTTCCAGGATACAGTATGCTTGCTTTGAGAAACACCGCTCTAAAGCAAGGGCTCACTTGATTGAGAAGGCGATTGACATTTGCCACAGAAAAAAGTTAATTGAATTTACTTTTGAGGGCACTCTTGGTGATCTACTAATTTTCTAAAGTAGATTTAGAGAACAAAGGATCAGGTGTGATTCTCATAGTACTATGGTTGGAAACTTTGTTGTCACCAGTGTGCAACCCTGGAAAGCCACACATGTGAGCATAGCAACCAAGTTTGCAACTCCCGGACTTCACAGCAATAATAGCAACAAATAATGATAAAAAAGCAAAGGAGAATATAGGCTATTTGTTAAAAAAAAAAGGTATCAGAAGAATGAGAAACTGATATGGAGGTTAGTATGATTGCATTAGAGGTTTTTTTACAGTGAGAAAAGAGAGCTGAGCACATAAGACTTACGAAGAGAAGTTAGAAGGTAAAACTGAATTCTAGGGAATAATAAGAGGGAAGAATATGTTCTCTGGAAATGAATTGACAATGAAACATAAAGGCATGTGAGGCTTTTCAGGTTTCTACACTGAATGGGATATGAAGAAGGTATGGATTCTCTAAATTCAGAGATAGTAGATCTAGGCCTTTGGGGCCACAGTATGAAGAGGATGATGCCAGACCATTGAAACTACTGAGAGGTTTTATTATAGTGGCCTGGTATCCTATATTTTACTCTTTATATGAAGGGGCTGTAGAAAGATTTATTTAAATACTGTGTTGAGAGTATAGTGCCATGTATGTGTATAAATAATATATACATGTATGTGTATAAATAGGTGTAACAATAGTTGAGTAGTTGTAATAGAGACTGGATGCCCCAGAGAGCCTAAAGTATTGACTATAGAAGAAATTGATAATCTGGTATAAGTTCTGGAAGAATATACTCTTAACATTAAAAGCATTTGTCTTTGGATTGTGAAATTGGTTTTGTTTCATCTTTTTGAGGTTTTTAAAAGACCACTAGATGGAGCAGTAGTTACAGGTGACCAAATGTTTTACAACCCTATTGAATGAAATTGAAGTACAATTTTTAAAAAATTTTTATTTATTTATTTATTTGCTTTTTGGGTCACACCCGGCAGTGCTCAGGGGTTACTCCTGGCTCTGCACTCAGGAATTACTTCTGGCGGTGCTCAGGGGACCATCTGGGATGCTGGGAATTGAACCCGGGTTGACCGAATGCTAGACAGATGCCCTACCTGCTGTGCTATCACTCCAGCCCCTGAAGTACAATTCTTTTATTCTTTCCTAGTCCCAGTGTGGAATGCAAAAGCATGAGGTTTGGCATGTTGAGAGATCATCAAGCTGTCACTGGAAATGTCACTGCTTTTGATGGATCCATTCTCTATCTGCCTGTTAAGCTTCAACAAGTGAGATCAAATAAAAAATTACTTTTGGGGTAAAACCTAAGAATGTTCTTGTTGTGGAAGTCTTAAATTTATGAAACATTTGAGTTGTACTTAGAGATAAGGCAAACAAAATTATATACTTTTACATTTGAGTTCTTCAGAATGTCCCTTCTCTCAGAACAAGAGTGGTTAGAAGTCTTTGACCTCAGTGGCAGATGATTTTAAGATTTCAGATTTAGGGACTGGAGAGATTGCCCAACAGACTGGCATGCATGCTTTGCCTCGTTCTATTCCTGCACCATGTAGTCCCCTGAGCACCACGAGGAGCAGGTGCTACATCACTGAGTAGGTATCATTGGGTGTGGCTCAAGGAAAAACACAATCAAACTTAGATCTGTTGCTAGTTCTCCATTGGGTTTCAGTTACCAAATCCTTAATTCATCATTGTCATGCTGTAATTTTGCCTAGTGTGGATAGTAAAGTGAAGGAGAAATAAAATATTTTAAGATATTTTCAGTGCTCTGTAGAAAGAGTTGAATTAGATTAAGGCTTGGTAGAGTTTTCTTTTACTTAGGGTAAATTTATTTTTATGCATCTACTTATTTTTAGATTCTTGAGTTAAAAAGCCAGAGGAAAACTGATGGTGCTGAGATCAGCATTAAGATTCAGTTGACAAAGATTCTGGAGCCCTGTTCTGACTTATGCATTCCCTTCTACAATGTGGTTTTCCGTCGGTGAGAAAATATCTGTACCTTAACTTTCTTTGATTTTAGTTATGTATTTGTATGATGCACTTCAAGAAGCCTAGTTGGTATTACTCTATAGTGCATATTTGTAGATAGAAGTTTGAAAATAATAAGTGTATAAAATTGAGGGCTAATTAACTAAAAACTTACGTCAAATGATTGGCCAGATTTAGATATATGAAAATAGGCTTGGAGGTAGCTGGATAAGGGGGATGGGTTCCTTTAGATTTATTCAGGAATGTTAGAAGCAGATATTTATTGTGTATATTTAATGGTGATAGCAAAAGGATTACTTGAAAAGGTAATGTGCAGAAATTGTTACTGGAAGCATTTTTTCCGGTCCTTTGAATATTTGCAGTACAGAAAACTTAATATATTTTTACATAAGATTTTATTAATTTGGGGCTGGAGTGTTAGTACAGTGGGTAGAGCATTTGCCTTGCATACTGCTTACCCAGGTTCAATCCCTGGAACCCCGTATGATCCCCTGAACCTGCCAAGTGTAATTCCAGAGTGCAGAGCCAGAAGTAACTCCCCAAAAATGCTGGGTGTGACTCAAAAAAAGCCAAAGGAGGGGGTAAAAAGACTTCATAATTTTATCTAAACTTACATTCAAAACACCTTTTTTTTTGCTGTAGCATAAAAACCAAGTTGCTACCTAATTTTTGTACTATTAGTAACAGACATAGCTTCCTATGCCACAGTGGTACTTACAAACTTAGAAATTGATACTCTTGCAGTATGTTTAATGGTGAAAAATAATGTAAATTGAACCTGGAAAAGCAACCCAATTTTTGTTAACATAGTTGAGTAGGAAATATGCAGTTAATTGCTTATATTTCAAGATGAATGTTTTGGTAATTTCCTTTTTGTCATGTGTACTGTCAGCATAAAGTTGTTATTGTGCAAAGAACACCAATGTTTTAACCATTTACAGTTTCAAAGGAAAATGTAGTCAAGAGTAAAAAATAACTCATTTTTTTTCTTTTCTAATGGAAATCTTGTACTTTATTTCAGGGTAATGAAACTTTTAGATATGAAACTTGTAGGGAGAAACTTCTATGACCCTACAAGTGCTATGGTACTACAGCAACATAGGTGGGTAGTGTTTTCTCTTTACTTTCAATTGTTCTGGAACAAAATTTTTAACGTGTAGAAATATATATTTTATTTACTTTCTGAAATTAATGTAGTTACTTAAATATTTTTCATAGTTTACCTATTTGATTATTTTTTTAGTGATACTAGTTTAATATGATTCCTGAAGCTTTCTCATTGTGATTAGGGAGGACAGAATCTGTTCAAAGTATTGTCTCAAGAGTGGATCATGGAATTTTTGTGCTGCTTTTAGGCCCTAAAATAAATCCCATATTTCTTTTCAGATTGCAGATTTGGCCAGGTTATGCAGCTAGCATCCGGAGGACAGATGGAGGTCTTTTCCTGCTAGCTGATGTTTCCCATAAGGTCATTAGGAATGACTCTGTCCTGGATGTCATGTAAGTGAATGGTGGGCTCCTCTACCAATAACAAGCTAATAGTTCTCTGAAAATAACTTGTTAACTAATAACAGGTTAGCCATTATTTTAAATAATGGGGTTTTAAATTCTGCCAAGATTAAGAATTCTGTTGGTGTGCTCTATTCCAGAGATCTGTTGTGCTTTGGGAAGGAATTATGTTTAAGTCTCTTGGCTGAATGTACACATAACCTGAGTTTTGTTTAAATGTGTCACTGTAGTAAATAGTTCCTGTTATATGATGTGTATATAATTTGTAGGCTACATAAAATCTCGTACATAAATCTGTGCATCTCATTTTAAATTAGGTTTTGTACTTAGAATTACTTAATAATGAGCGAGGAGTGATAGCACAGCGGTAGGGTGTTTGCCTCACACGCAGCCAACATGGCTGACCCGAGTTTGATTCCTTCGCCCCTCTTGGAGAGCCTGGCAAGCTACCGAGAGTATCTCGCCCACAAGGCAGAGCCTGGCAAGCTACCCGCGATGTATTCGATATGCCAAACACAGTAACAACAAAGTCTCCAATGGAGACATTACTAGACTCGCTCGAGAAAATCAATGAACCACGGGAGGACAGTGATAGTGACAGCACAGCGGGTAGGGCGTTTGCCTTGAACGCGGTCGACCTGGTCGGCCCAGGTTCGATTTCTCCATCCTCTTGGGGAGCTCGGCAATCTACCGAGAGTATCTCGCCTGCATGGCAAGGCTGGCAAGCTACCCGTGACGTATTCGATATGCCAAACACAGTAACAAGTCTCACAATGGAGACATTACTGGGCCCTCTAGAGCAAATCAATGAACAATGGGAGGACAGTGCTACAGTGCTACAATAAAGAACACTGAAAAGGGCTGAAGAGCTTGTGTGCAGCTGATCTAGGTTTGATTCCTAGCTGTAAAATCTTATCACGCCAATGGTTGTGTGTTCACGGGCTCCCTGGATGGCACTGTCTCACCATCTGCGTTCGGTGCTCTTGAGCCGCTGTGTGTGGCCTGGATCAGAATGGCCGTTGGCCAAGGGCAGACGGAAGAAGAAACGAGGGCCAGGCCGGTCTATATCAATAGTAGTTTATTCCAATCCTCTTCACTCCTGTCTTTCTCTGCCTCCTTATCTCCTGGGCCCCAATTTTGGAACCTCTCTCCTTCTGGCTCTGACTCTGGATATCTGGAGCCCGAGCTCTTTCGCTTCTGACTCTCCTCTCCGAGCTTACGTCTTAGTTTATGTAGCAGTCACATAAGGCGGTGACATAAAGGTGGGTTGAATGCTGACGAATTAACAAAGAGAGGTAAGACCACTCCTCCAGGAGATTAACTCAAGGATAAAATCTCATCTATAGAGATTACTTCAGATTACTAGGAGATCTGCTCAAGGGTGGGATCCCAACAAGGGTGTGTTCTTCCCTCAGTTAGTAATCTACTTAAATAGTTGTAATAAATCTTTAGTTAGTAATCTACTTAAATAGTTGTAATAAATAGTTGAAATAAATATTTCTAGCAATGTCATTCTGTATGAGCACAGTAAGAGATATAAATTTAGTTTGGTTCTTCCTGAGAACATCTCACTATACATTCCGCAGTCCTCAGGCCAGGTTAATTTTCCTAGCTCCAGTAGGGTCCTAGTCTCGTCGTTACTTACTTTTGGATCATGACAGCATTTGTCCATGATCATGTCCTCAACTTATAGTTGAGTATCGTGGCTCTTTGGCCTGGCCCATTTCGATGCCAGGGTAGCTCACCACTTGCCCTGGGTCTATTCAGTCCCTCGTCGGGACCCTGCTTTTGGGGTGCTAGGAACTAAGGGCAACTGAGTCAAGAAATCAGATGCCCAGGAGTAAATATTATTCGGAGTCAATCAACTCCCAAGTTACAAAGCATAATATTAACTGTCTTCCTGTGTCCACACAGAAAGGACATTGCTTACAGTCCAAGTTCAGTGTCCTTAGATGGCTGTGACCTGACAAACCTAAGCTACCTGAGTAAGGAAAAAAGAGTGTTATCCTATACCTAGCATCCCATGTAGTCCCCTGAACATTGCCAGGAGTAATTCCTGAACTCAGAGCCAGGAGTAACCTCAGAGCATCACCAGGTATGGCTCCAAAGCTAAAAATAAAAAAGACCAAACATATTTAAGACTTAAACATCAGTGTAATAAGATACATAACTATATATATGAACATATACACACATATATGTATAGCCAAATTACTCTATAGAAGACTTACTCATTTTATTTTCCCGCCAGTTGTGTATGACTACTTAGTATTATCAAACTTGTAAATCTTTGCTTTTCTGATAAATTCATTCATTCAGCACATACATATATATGTATTTATATTTCTATAAATGCACACATTTCTATTTATAAAATGTATCTAGACATATATAAACACATATGTTTATATGCAGATAAACCATGTTTATATGAATACATAATTTATTTAATTTATTTAAATACCATGATTTATTTAAATACCATGGGCTGGAGCGATAGCGCAGCAGGTAGGGCATTTGCCTAGTACGCGGCCAACTGGGTTCAATTCCTCCATCCCTCTTGGAGAGCCCTGCAAGCTACTGAGAGTATCCTGCCTGCACAGCAGAGCCTGGCAAGCTCCCCGTGGCATATTCGATATGCCAAAAACAGTAACAAGTTTCACAATGGAGACGTTACTGGTACCTGCTTGAGCAAATTGATGAACAGTGGGAGGACAGTGCTACAGTGCTATAATATACTAGAAATGATGAGTTATAGAAGAATGAAGTAGAACATAGAGTAGAAAGTATCAAGAGTATATGAGGTGGGGATGGAGAGCTTTGATATTGAGTGGCTATTTTAAAAATAATTAAAAAATTTAATCACCAGGTATTAGAATTACAGATTAATTTGTTACGTTCCAACACCATTTCCTTCACCAGTGTCCACTTTCATCCACCAGTGTCTCAAGTTTCCCTTCTGTTCCCCAGCAGACACTTTCCCCTTCCAACATTGTTTATTGTTTTCTTCCGTAATTATCCTCCCACCTACAGTGCAGTGGCAAGCTCTTGCTAGTGCTTGGGTGACCATATGGGACATGAGGGATAGAACCTGGGTCTGCCGCATGCAAGACAAGTGCCCCTTTTTGCTGTACTCTCTCCAACCCCTGGGTGACTATATTCATTTAATATTTGCAAGACGTGAAGGAGTTAGTTAGGTGAATATATGGGTGGAGGGAAGTCTTGTGAAAGGGACATCTTCAGTAAAGGTTTTAAGATGGAATACTGTGTGACTTGTTCAGGGAGCAGCAGGGACACTGAGGATGATTATTGTATACCAAGAAAGGTAAGAATGGTGGAAGGATGACTCGAAAATGTATTGCTTTGTACAATGCTTGTAAGAGTTTTAGCTTTTACACTAATTGAAATGCATAACTTATAGTCAAGGAGTAAATGTGATCAGACTTGTGTGATACAAGGACCATCTCATTGCTCTGTGCAGAACAAACTTAGTAGGTTGGAGATATTAAGTGAGATCACCCGGAAAGTGGTTGTAGTAATCCAGTGGAGAGGAAGATGGCAGCATTGAAATGATAGATCATGTTCTGGATTTATTTTGATAGAGTTTTCAGTTGCTTTCTTGACAGAATATAGGGATGGGAGAAAGGGAAGGCAAAGACAGTCAGGGATCAGATCTGCGTCAGCTGCATGCAAGGCAAGCACCCTACTCATACTATCTGGCCTCATATTTTCACCTGTTCTTGTAACGGGGCCTTTGTCTCTGTTTATTTCTACAAGTTTGTATGTTTAATAACATTTATTAAGTGAAAATAGATTTCTGGGACTGGAGAGATAGTATAATTGGATACTTGACTTCCATGTGGTTGACCCAAGTTCAATACCCAGCCCTCCTATATAGTACCCCTGAATATCACTGAGAGTAATTTCTCAGTGCAGAGTCAGGAGTAACCTCTGAGCACTGCTGGGTATGACCCAAAAACAAAATAAACAACAAACAAACAAAAATTAAAGTAATTAAAAATGTCATATTTTTAGTCAGTAGATCCAAAGAAATATTTAGTAATATATCCTGTTATTTTACCCTACGATAATTCACATATAAGAAAAATGGGTTTTCAGGGCTAGAGCAATAGTATAGCAGATAGGGCATTTGTCTTGCACACGGACGACCCGGGTTCAATTCCCAGCATCTCATATGGTCCCCTGAGCACTGCCAGGAGTAATTCCTGAGTGCAAAGTCAGGAGTAACCCCTGAGCATTGCCGGGTGTGACTCAAAAAGTAAAAAAAAAAAGGTTTTCAACAAAATAGTTAAATAGTTAATAGTACAAAGACAGATATGATCTAAACATTACACCAAAATAAATTCTGAAATGTTTAAAACATTAGACATATATTAGACCTGTCTCTGCACCCAGGAATCACTCTTGGCAGTGCTCAGAGGACCATATGGGATGCTGCAGATTGGACCTAGGTCAGCTGTGTGCAAGGCAGGCTTTCTGCCCAATATTGCTCTGGCCCTAGGTTTTAATATTTATTAGGAAATTCTGTTTTCAGAATTTTTATGCTAAATTATACTTTTTCTCTGCCTAATTTCCCCCTTCTCTTCATTGTTGTTTATGTTGCAGAGATTGGGCTTGCACACATAGTGTCTGGGTATGGTGCTTGCACATTTAATTGTGGCACTTGCTAGGTGTCACTTGTTACATTGCTGTGCTCACACACACTGCTATAGTGCTCACCAAGGGTTGCATCCCATTAATTGTGCTTGCTCATATGTTTGATGGGGTTTGCATTCTGTTTGATGCATGAAAATTAGGGTTGTGCTCACCAGGGGTCACTGCAGTGCTCATGTAATGCTCTCTAGGGGTTGAACTTTTCTCACCAGAGTGCTTGCATGTTTTATTTGTGCTCACCTTGGGTGATAACTATTCTTGCACACATTTGGCTTGGTGTGGCTGGAAATGACTTGGGACAGGGAACACACAGAGCA